TTTTATATATATATATATATATATATATATATATTTAGTTATTTAATACCAAACACACCTCAATTAAAAATATTTTTTTTAAATAACAACTATAAAAGTTATTATAATATCAAACATATTTTTTTGCACTTGGTTAATTAATTACGTTATTATAATATCAAACATATTTTTTTGCTTAATTATATATCTTTATTTCATATATATATATATATATATATTAAAAAATGAAAACTAATAACACACACAGTTACCACGCTCTATAATCAAATGGAATGCATTAATTTGACCCTCAGCTTTTCCGTGCCACGATCGAGATTTTTCCGGCCTTTTGCAATCAAATTCTACCACCTTCTTCTTATTTCCCATCTCTCTATCTTCCTTGGCAAGAGAGAGGTGCCAATGGCCATACCCTAGGCCAGTCATCACTTGCACTTGCAGTACAAGCAGTGAGTATTAATTAAATAATCGTGTGCTACAAGTCGTTTCCTACTAAATCTCTTGCTGGGTTAATTAATCTGATACTACGATCCACGATATCTCCTCTAGTGTCTCAAGAACCAATCAGGGAACTCAGCTCATGAACTATCAGCACACAGGACAATAGGAAGCTGGAAGCTCGTGCTAAGCGTCTACATCACCCAAGCGATCTCTTAGCGGACCAAGGCACTTCAGGTGGATACAAAAGAGCATAGCTAGTTTTCTACTCTCTGCTTTAGTACGGCAACATTTTTATTTTCTCCCCGGAGTCTTTTTGCAGATCGAAACACCCAATCATCAACAGAAGCGGTCTCCGAACTCAAAATCCCAAGATGGCTGTTTCCCATCACTATGTGGCCACTTGTCAACATCACATGCGCATGCGTGGGAGCCAACTCTCTTAAAATAATCCGAGGGTTGTCATTTTCTGTTTCCAAGAGAATTTTCCTTCATTGGTCCGCTGAAAAGTTTGTGTGTGCGTGTGCGTGTAGCAGTATTGTGTGTCCATTCAGGTTCTTTATCTCTTCCCTGCATTCAGAAGAAGAAAATTGCGTTTCAAAAATATTCAAGACAGCATTATCATACCTTTTTATTTTTATGATGAATTGGCTAAATGATAAGAAAAAAGAAGAAGAAGAAGGACCATTAGTGGAACACACACACACGAGTGGAATACACACACACACGAGTGTAATTCACCTATTTTTGCAATAATTGATTTTTTCAATTTAATTATTACATTTCGGGATACAATTATATTTCCTCTGTCTCTCTCTTTGTTGAGAGACTCGATTAAATCATGTACTATAAAATTAAAATATAACCGAAAATGTTGAATCCGAGGCTTCCCAAGAAAAAAGCCTTCTCGTCCTTGAAAAGAAAACTTGAAGGTGCAGGGTGTCGGAGCATAATGGGCCATGCAACCCCGAGTGGTGAAGTCTTGGAAGAAATCCAAGGCACTTCGAGTGGTTCTCTGCTTCCTGGGACCGAGAGTCTAGTTTCGAACTTTTACTAAAAAAATTAATCATAAATTAAAAAACTTATGTATTTATTTAATTAAATAAATTAATAATTATTTGTGTTGAAAAATATAAAAAAATATTAATATATCTATTCGGCTTATTTCATTGCACGTCAGTTGATTTTTTTCTAGCTCAAAAAAATAAATATCTAGCATTGTTATATATTTTTTGACATCGAATAGAAAATATAGCTTTAAATTTAAAATTCAATAATTAAATTTGATAAAATAAAATGAGAATTATATATAATAACAGAGACATATGGAATCTCAAATTAGTTTTTAATACAATAGAAAAATATAACAATGTTGTAAATGCATTTTATTATATCATAATTCTTTTAACTGGGAAATTTAAAGAAGCAAAACAAAATAAATCTTATAATATATGATAGATAAATTAAGAAAGAGTTGCTAATGACAATGAAATTTCAAAATAAAAAAATAATGATTTATATAACGTGATATAGATCACCTATCTAGTTTATCCTTTTCTACATGGACGAGGACGAGTTATAGATCACCTATTCATGCGTTTCAAACCAAATTTTATTGTACTCAGCTGGCACCAATGAACATATATATTTACAAAGGAAAGACGGCTAGAACATTTGACTGGGTTTGCAGAATAAGAATATATTTAGAATTGTAATAGCAGTAGTAAATTAAATATTTTTTATTTAAAAATATATTAAAATATTTTTTATTTTTTTAAAAATAGTTTTTATGTTAGTATATCAAAACAATTAGAAAACATACTTTTTTATTTTTAAAAAAATTTAAAATTTAAGAAAACATAATTTACACCATGTTTCCAAAAACTCACTTAATAGAAAGGGGTTAAAAAATAATTTTTATTTAAAATAATATTTTAATTATTTAAAATTATTTTTGATATAAAAATATTATTTTAATATATATTTTAAAAAACAATATCTTAACATTATCAAAGTCATGTAAAGAGATAAACATTGATCAATCAAACCTTTAGAAAAATTTAGCCGTTGTTGGTCAGTCCACCGTGATGACATGACTAACTGACCCGAATGTGTTTATTATATTAGATTGGTTGACTGATATTAATTGTTTGTGTGGCTAAATTATCATGTGGAGTGACAAAGCCAATCTTCTTTATATTTAAATTTATTTTCTTAATGCTAACTTTATTTTTCTTTTCATCAAGTTATAAATTTTTCTTATTTAAAGTTATATTCACTGTAGTTTTAAAATTCAGTCTATAGCTGGATTAGGATGGTGTCTAAGAAGAAACAAGAAAAAACAAAATTCCATATGATTTAATTAAAAACTCATGTTAATTTAGAAAAAATTAATAAAAAAATCTAGTTACATTTTTGTAATTATTTATTTATAATAAAAAAATAATGTTATTTTGCTTTATAAAAAACAACGGAGCTGACCTCTAGTGACTTAAACTCGAGATTCAGGTTTTAAATCAGGTGAGCTCCTAGCCGGGATTAAAAACTATGTTGTCTCCACTTCGTTTGAGGAGATACATAAAGATTGAAAGAGGGTTAATCTAGTCAATTTATAAAATCATGGGATGAGAATAACAATGGCACGAGTAGAAGTATATCCATCCTGATTTATTTTTTGGCTGCTTCAGAAGATCAAAATACCCACTTCTCATTTCCAAGGGCACCATCATCTCAAGGCCATTTTCCACAAACTGAAGCCCAATCCAGTCCATCAGAGAAAAAAGAATCCAAGCAAACTGCTTTTCAATTTCCTCACCTCCCAAAACAACAGAAAAAACCAACGGCACCAGTAATCCCGAAATGAACGAAGATCCCAACAGGGCTGAAGCCGAACGCCTCCTCGGAATCGCTGAGAAACTCTTACAATCACGAGATCTCAGCGGCACAAAAGACTTCGCAGTTTTAGCTCAGGAAACGGAACCCCTTTTGGAAGGCCCAGATCAGATCTTAGCCGTTGCTGATGTTCTTTTATCAGCTGAAAAACGCGTCAATAATCAACACGACTGGTACTCGATCTTGCAAATCAGTCAGAAAACTGACGATTCCTTCCTCATAAAAAAGCAGTATCGTCGCCTTGCATTACTCCTCCATCCAGACAAGAACAAGTACCCTTTCGCCGACCAAGCCTTCAAGCTCGTCGCTGATGCTGGGGCTGTTTTGTCTGATACTGCTAAAAAAACTTTCTACGATAATGAATTGAGTTTGTTTTCGAAGATTGATTTGTCTGCTTCTGGGAAATTACCAGTCAGGAGAAGCCAGAGAATGGTTGATGATAAAAAGGCTGAAAGTGTGAAAATTAATGTTAATAATGCGAGTAATCAACAAGAAAAAGCGAAATTGTCTTCCTTTTGGACTGCGTGTCCGTATTGTTATATTTTGTACGAGTATCCTGGGGTTTATGAGAATTGTTGTTTGAGGTGCCAAAATTGCCAGAGAGGGTTTCATGCTGTTTTAATACCCTCTCTGCCTCCTTTGGTTCCCGGGCAGGAGTGTTATTATTGCTGCTGGGGGTTCTTCCCTTTGGGATTTACACCTGGTACTGCAGGGAGTGGAGGGAAAAGTGGTGGGGTGGGTTCAGGGTTTCCTAATTGGATGCCGCCAATGTTCGGGACAGAGCAGCAGCAAGGAGGTGGTAAGGGTGGTGGCTATGTAGCGGTAAATGTGGATGATAAGAACGGTGGTGGTGTTAGTGGTAATGGTGCAGCTGCCACACCAGTGAGGGTTGGTGTGGAGAGCAGGGATAGAGAGGTGAAGGTTTCTGGTGGGAGTGCAACGGGGTTGGCTGGGAGTGCAAGGGGCGTGGCTGGGAATACAATGGGGATGCCAGGGCCAAGGAAGAGAGGAAGGCCTAGGAAGTACCCTGTGCAGGCTTAGTTTTTGAAGGCCGATGTGTAGTCAGTAAGTGCAATGTGATGGAATGGGATGTGAAAGTGTTGGTGGATGGGAGTCCTTTTGCAGCTGGCTAGGTTCTGGGATTTCACAGGTATTGTTGATGTAACCTTTTTGCTCTTAGTTTTTTTGTAGAGTTCAAATGTTATAATGCATCTGACTGGGTTGGTTGATATGTAACATTTTATGATGTGTAGCAATGTCATTTCAATAGTTTACGGATCTGTACAAGCTGTACTGCTTTTAATTAAATATTCATTTTGGAGGATCAGTCCTATGTTGAACACTTTAGGCATTTAGTACCAAAAATAAACGCAGGCATTGTAAACGAGCTTGTTGATTTGCAATGTTAAAATGTGCGAGTAAATATAGGTAAATGTTACTTGAAAGTTCAAGGTAATAGTTTTTTCCTGACATATTGCTCTCCATGTCTGCATAAGTACTTTCCCTTTTATCTTCATACCCTATAGCTACTCGCACTATTGCCACACTGCCAGTGCTTCTTTTAGCTGCCATTAACATTGGTGTTAATGTTTTGAGTTTTCTCCAGATATATGAATCGATTCACTACAGTTTTTAATCATGTTTACTAGACAAGTTCCATAGTAGCCTTACTACTGAAAGTCAATTAAAAATTGTGATCTCAGTCATCCTGCAGAAATTAGATGATCGGTTTTGTTGAACATTATGTCAATGGAGTTTTAGGGGCATGATATGCTAGATTCTTGAAGTTCGAAAGGTCTTCAGCATAATTTTGGTTCAAATGCATGTATATCATTAGAAGTCGTTTCTAGTTCCTTTCATCAGACAGCTCAATGGAATGTCGTTTAATTCAATTAATAGAAGTAGTATTGTCCTTGTCCTTGTTTCGAGGCACCAGGTTTTGTTTCTAAACTTGTTTCCGTTTATGTTGGATAAGTTCCTTTATTCTCTTCACCTGTTCACCGGGAATTGCATGCTTGTCCGCATAACCGGACAAGGCGTGTTTTTTAGGTCAATCTACTAAAATGCACGGTTCTGTGTTTTCCAAACATGATGGTTGCTTTTTTGGTAAAAACCCCAAATCTGCATTAAAAAAACAGTTGTTTTTAGTTCAAGTGGAAATATAGGCTTAAGCCAGCTGGCCAGCTTTAGTTTTTTCCTTATTTTCTTTTCTGGCTGAAGCAGTTTTTATTATCTTCATAGTCATCTCTTGTTGCTGGATCAAAGCTGAATAGAAGAAGAAAGTTGAAAATTATTGTCAACAGGCATCTAATATAAATAGCCTTTTCTGGTAGGGTAAGGTATAGAAATTCTGCAGGTGAGCGTTCTTTGGTTGATTGAGCAATTTGGCAGTGGAGGATTGAGCGGTCCTCTAGCTTCGATTCAATTGTGGCAGGCATAATTAACTGGAAATACCTCTGATTTGTAATAGGCTTAATTGATTTACATTGGCTTAGAGTTCATACGTATTTTTCCAAACAGCCACAGGACCCTGAAATCTACCGATTCTCTAGGCTTGGAGCTCTGCTCGAGCTTGGGCCTTTGATACCAAGTTTAGTGCGGGGATGGTGAAACTTGACCACGGGAGCATCCCAGGCAATTCTAAGTAACTGAATTCTACTGCAGCTGTCTCCACTTTCTCGCCATTGACCTCTAACTACTGAATCAACAATATATGTCGATTTATAGTTTTCAAAACATCAATCAGTCCGAGCTTGCGACTTTATGGAATTCGAATCTAATCCATTTCTCCACTCGGGCCTAGATTTTTTTTGGACAATGTTCATACGAGCTTTCCACATTTCAGAGTGACCTGATGGTGGGGGTTTAAGGTATCTAAACAAAATCATTTGAAGACTTCTGAACATTTGCAATAGGCACAATCAGCTCGAAATAGTCTTCAGGTTAAGTACACACGCTTATTGTGATGCTTTTTAACTTCAATAATTCGCCATTCAGCTGCATGCTATTTTCCCATTGGTGCAAATGCCAATTTCCCAGCCAATTGTTGCATACCACAGGAGGCAAGGAAAACCAGCTAGGCCTCCAATTCTCAGGCTCAATGCCTCTTTGATTGGAACTAGCATCAAATAAGCATGCATAGAAACTGACTATAATCCACCCGAGATGCTCACTGAAGCACGAGAGTCTGGTGGTTCAACCATGGTAGGATGGTAAGTTCGGTTGGTCATCACATCAATGATCAAACATGCCTGGTGGCAAAACCCTTGCCTGTAGATGAAAGAGTCGTTGATTGGTTTTTTTATCCATGTTGAGCTTCCAGAATATTACCCAATGCGAGTGAGCATATCATTTACAGGCAAGGTCCTTTAAAATTACACGGGTTGCTTGAAAACTAACAGAAGATAAAAAGAAGAGAAGCACTGGACGGTAAAAGAATGGACCTAATTTTTCCTCGCATGAAACAGGATGGGAAAGGCAAAACTAGGTGGAAATTGGTCGAAAAGTTTATGAGCATGTCCAAAACCAAAGAAAATATGAAATCCATTTTGAACAAAGTATAGCATGAAATTTCTCAAGGAAATGTAAAAACACAATCCAAGACTAATAACAGACCCGGAAAAAGAGCCTCTCAGGAAATTGCAGAGGAATTAGATAGCCTAAGACACTCACTTTGGCACCTCCTAAGGCAAATATCATTCCAGTTTGGCACCTGGTGTTGATTGACACAAACAGTTCTCGCACATGCATCAGCACAAGCATCAAGCTCAGAAACACCGCAAACGGTAACACAAGTATCAATAGTTGGGTCTTTAGATAATGCACCAACCTTCTTTAGCATCCTCTTCGAAGTGCATACCCTCTCGCAAACAAATATTTCATCGGAGCTCTTTTCACGGCCTCTGGCGCTCTTTAACCTCTGCTCATCAGCTCTTCTTTTCTTCATCCTTAATGCTTGCCCTGCAATTATAGCTGGAATTGCTGCCCCTAATAGAGACCACCATGGGTCCACCATTGCTCTTCTCTTCAACACACAAGCTCTTGGAATTTGTCACCAGGAAGATTTCCTCCTGTGTACGAACACTTGAGATATCAAATTCAAAAATAAGCAACGTCGGTATAAGATAAAATTGAAAAAAAAATCCCAATTAAGAGAAATTCGAACAGAAATGAAATTTCCAAAGGGTTCTTACGTGCTTTTCAGAAGATATATGCTGGTTGATTTATTTGACCTAATTTCCCTTGAAATAGTTTTATCCCCTTTTTTTTTATGGATGAAACATTAGTTAATAAAGATCAACCAAACAGAAATTGCCTTCCCAGTAAAGAACAGTTACTGAAGTAAAATAAAGAGAGAGATGGAGAGCTTACTGAGCTGGAAACGGTGGTGGATCCTCGAAGGACAGAGGGTTTAGTTTTAGATGGAGAAAGAGGGAGAGACGGGTTTCGAGAGAGACGAAGAGAAAAATTCAGAAAGAAGGCAATGCGCGGACTAGGGCACGTGTTTTTACATCCAACGGCTTATGATTGTTCTCGTTTTGTGGGACCATGGTTTTAGATCAGTGTTTTTCACGCGAATGTATTTTGGCGGATATAATCATAATTTCAGTACCTGAACTTTTCTAAAAGTTCCTATTTTAGTTTACTTTTTTCTTATTCTTAGTTACTAAACTCTTCAAAATCCATCAATCATTACATTTTTTAGGATGTTTAGAGTCGGCTTTTTAAAAAATTAATTCTTTTTTTATTATTCTAAATTAATTTTTTTATTTCTTAGATATAAAAATAATTTTTAAAAAAACAAAAAAATATTTTATACATTTTCAATTAAAAACCATTTTAAAAACTAATTTCTAACATTGTTTTAAACAAAAAACAAGTCTCGTGAGGGTTGCTGCTTTTCATAACAGTAGATGAATCGAGTCATTACTCAGGCTCATTTAAAAAAAACTACGTTTTTAAAATTCATTTTCAAACGAGTTTCCATGGCTCGTGAGCTTCTTTAATCATGCAAAATAAAATTAGTTGATTTAATAAAAATTTCGAATTAATTCATTAACTTGATCAACTTAGATATGAATCGGTAAAAACCTGAACCTCAACCTGTTGATTTACTTTCAAAATAATGCTGTTTTGTTTTCTATATCTACTATATAGTAACCCAGATAACAAATTTACCCAATTAAATTTCAAATGTGCTGGCGGTTAGTTAATGAAATACAGACGTAAAATTCTAGAATATAATTACATGATATTATAAATATTATTGTTGTTGTATTAATCATACTATTACATTAATTTAATCCTAAAGTCAAGCATTAGAATGAATGTGTTGGAAAAAGTGACCAATATAATCAAATTCACAATTCACAAATTTTATTTTATTTTTTTAGTTTGTGCAATTAAAATAGTATTAATCAATCAATAAAAATAAATTATAAAATTAAATAAATACATGATATAATGAATTTTTACGAAAAATCCTGATGCAAGAACATAGTCCACTCAAACTCTTCTACTAGTTCAAATAATAAAATCACAAAGTTCTACCAATTAGATTGGAAGATTCTAAACAATCAACGTCAAAAATAATGTACCAATTACTTGTATGACTTAAAAGGATTTAAGCCCCGGAGGAAAGGGTGAAAAAAAAAGATGACGTCGCAGTAATTGTTGGAAAAATCTAGTAAAATTTATTTTCTGTGCAATTCTGTTTTTTTAACAAAGTTGTTTCCGTTTATTTCTGAAAAAATAGCCCCAGCAGAAACTTATTGGCAGCTAAGTATCCTAACAAATCATGCACGCATGTTCATGCAAAAATCATAATTCCTACACATAAAATATTGTTAATTATTTTATTGACCAGGGACTGCCTTCTCTGGTTGTTTTTGTTTCATGGAAGATTCCAAATCGCCAGCGATTGACTCGAAGATCCACTATCCATATCGGCTGCTTTGTCGTTCAGGCGGAAGGTGACACACACGGGAGGAGTCCGGGAAGAGTTGGCCGAGGGCTTGGAACCCCAATCTACCTGATTTATGATAAAAGAACAGCCTCAGTAATAGCAGCGGACGTCAATCATGAACAAAGATTGTCACCAAGCCCGCTAAGATCTGACCTCCCTACAGTCAGAAAGACCTGACGAGGCCCATCTAGTGTCGAGCTCTGTGGACCCACGAGCACCCAACTGAAGGCGGAGGCAACATTTGGACCCCTTGCGAATCTCGATGATTAAAATTTCATTTCACCTAATTAGTAGTTCGTTAGATTTTATAGTTAGTTTTTTTATAAGAAAATTCAAATTATTATTTTTAAAATTAATTATTTAGAATCCCCTGACATTGTATATCATGCTGCTAATTAAAATTTTCAACAAAATTTGGATCATAGTACAAAAAAGAAAATATTTGATACCATCATGCATTTTTTAAAAATATATATTGAAATGAAATGTCAAGTAGCTATGAAGGCTAAAAATAATCAAAATTAAACTTCTATTATCAAATGAATCTATTCATATAAAATTTGATCATATTAGAAATAATTTTAAAAAATAGATAGAGGGTATTAATTTAAAATAAAATAAAAAACTAACTAGAAAATACATACAAAAGAATGAGGGTATTAATTAATGATTCTAAAGAAATAACAAGAGAGAGAAAGAAAAGTGAGCTCGCGTGCCTGGTCAACATTTGAGCCTAGGCACGTTTGAGTTCGAAAACTCAAGGCCATGCTCCTAGGCTTGCATATATTTTTTGTGCCATAAGGGACATACCTCTTTTTATTAAAAAAATCAAATAATGCATCACCTATTATCAAGTTTCGAGGCACCTCGTGTGGTTAGGAAATCAAGGTTTTTATTTTTTAACCCAAAAAATTCATTTGAACTAATTTTTAACATGAAAACATAAGAAACATCCTATAAATTTCAACAAGTCCACTGGAGGCCATTATCTAGCCAAAAATCTATTGTAAAGGCAAAAACAACTTGCATCCAAAAATAAATAAATTATAAGTTCAATCTATTTTTTATGATAATCTTAAAATTTATTATCATCAAATTTTTTTTTCATTAAATAAAATTTTTTCATATTAAATTTGATTATTTGATTATTTTGGTTGTCAAAATCACTATAATTGAAAGCGTTCTTCCTTTTTAGTTGTTTTTCAATAATATTTTCTTTTATTTTTTAAAAAATAAGGAGAAAAAAAATTCAAACCAAAATAAAAATATATAAAATTTGAAATTAGCTATATATTTTCTTTGTATTTTATAGTTTAATTTTTTTTAATTTTATCTTTCTACTACAATTTTAAATCAGGGAAAGCCTGAAATTACATTTCAAATGCTGTTTTTATAAAAATTAAATTTGTTTTATTATTATGTTTTTAGATGATTTTGATGTAATTGTATAAAAAAAATATTGAAAAAAAATATTTTAATATACTTTTAAGTAAAAAATATTGAAAAAAATAATTATTATTGTACTATCAATTACGATTATAATCTTATTTAATTAAAATCATTTGAACTAATTTTTAACATGAAAACACAAGAAACATCCTATAAATTTCAAGAAGTCCATTGGAGGCCTTTATCTAGCCAAAAATCTATTGAAAAGGCAAAGAAAACTTGCAATAAAAAAAATTATAACTTCAATCTATTTTTTATGATAATCAAAATAAAAATATATAAAATTTGGAATTAGCTATATATTTTCTTTGTATTTTATATTTTAATTTTTTTTAATTTGATCTTTCTACCACAAATTTAAATCAGGGAAAGCCTGGAATTACATTTCAAATGCTGTTTTTATAAAAAATAAATTTGTTTTGTTATTATGTTTCTAGATGATTTTGATGTAATGATATAAAAAATGATTTTGAAAAAAAAATATTTTAATATATTTTTAAATAAAAAATATTAAAAAAAATAATAGTTATTGTACTAACAATTACACCTATAATCTTATTTAATTAAACTATAAAAAAGATTAAATTAGGATTAAAAAAAATAAGAACAAAAAGAAGATTAAAAAAAATCCATCGCGTTTAATACAAATAGCGGAGGAAGCGGAAACAACCTAATTCCTTGTAGTATACTTGCCAATCAGTAATCGTAATGTATGGCGTGCCTTTCGATCATTCCTGCTCGCTTCTTTTGTGCCAGAGATCGACAGGTGATTTTGATTATTTACATTTCTTGACCGGTGAATAATGTGCCAACACAGTAACTGATGCAGAAAATTTCTTACCTTGCATTATATTTGACACTTGCCAGTGGGGGCAGCTTTTTTTAGGTCATAGACCAGCTGGGACCATCTGCAAGGGTGGTTTGTTGCTAGTAGAAACCCCATCTTGAGTAATCCTCTATTTTGCTGCTAGCTCAAAGACCTGTCCGTCTCTTCGCTTTCTCTGTTTGCCTTGCCCTCTTGCCTTCCACGGTACAGAGTAGGGAGGGCTGGCTGGGCCCTTTCTTGTGTGTAAAACATTGCATTCTCTTGAACAGTTCAGCGAGCACTCCACTCATTTGCTGTTTCGGTAGTGTTTAGCGTGTTGTGTTAGCGATTATACTTAGAATTATATTAAAATAATATTCAAAATGACATG